AAAATCAACTGAAGTAAAGTTTTTAAAATGCAAACACAAAAGAAAGTCTTGAATTCTTAAAGAGAAGGTGGACACCAAGGCCAACAGTTTAAAGGTCAATACCAAGGCCAAGACCTTAACTTTTAGGCCTTAAGGCAAGACTAAGGCCATGGATTAACAACTCTGACTTTACCTTCCATAACTCTTGAGGGTGAAACTGTTTTTTAACTTAATTAAATTATTGAGGTCTTGTTTGTTTGTTTTTTTAGATATATGTGGATTAAAACATTTTTCCATTCTCAGCGTTTAGTCTCAGCAAATAACATGATTTTAAAACCTTCAAACTTATATTTTCATTTGAATGTATAATGCTCCAAATTTGTTGATGTTTTTTACTCTACCATAGTGAAATATAAATTGCTCTAAACTTTCATTACCATAACCCTTGTTTTAAATAAAAAATACTTAATGCAATAGCTTAATGTGAATTTTACTTTATAAAGTTCTCTTTATTATTATTTTTTAAGGACATAAACTTTATTAAATTACCACAATATAATAAATTACCAACTTCAATTGCAAAATTAATTTTTTCATGTAAATATATTATAAAATGTATTTTTTAATACTATAATAAACTAAAACTAACTTTAATACTATAAATAACTAAATTAAATTTTAGATTTTTTAAATATTTAATTAACTAAATTCTTTCTTTTTTTGACATTCGTATAATGAATTAAAATATATTTAATTTTTTTAAAATTATTATTTCTTAAATTTGTAATTGAGGCTTTGCAATTAATAATGAATTTTTGATTTTTAAAAAATTAGTGAATAACTTTACTATATTAACTTATTGCACTTATTTTATTAAAAATAAGAGAAGTTAGTGAGTAAAAATAAGAGAAGTAAAAAATAAAAAATAAAACTTATTGTAAGAAAAATGTATTAATTTATTTTACTCACGATTATTCTAAGTTTCCCAGCCCATTTGTTGAAAAATATATATCATTGTATTTTCACTTGCCTTAGGGGTCACCCACAAACTACGTCACACAATTTTTTACCATTTTTGTAAGCAACTCAATCTAATTACCACTTAAACTGACCACTAACAAATTGATCTTAACTGTGTTTAACTTATATGAGGTTTTAAGATAAGATTTTAATGAAAACAGACATTCAGTAGGCGTTAATTAGTTATAAAGTATATTAATTTTTTTTTGCTTTTAACTTTCTGTAAAAAAAAATTATGAAACTGCTTTTTAAATTTTTATTTGGATTTATACAGAGAATTCAAAATAGGTCCTTGGACACCCAAGGACCTATTTTGAATTCTCTGTATAAATCCTATTTTGAATTTTGAATTCTCTGTATAAATCCTATTTTGAATTCTCACTCTAACATTTAATTTTTTTTTTTTTTTTATGCATTAGGGGTTGTCCACAAATTACGTCACGCTATAACAGGGAGGAGGGGCGTTGGTAGTTTTGTGACGCCTCATTCAAAACTTGCTTCTTAAGTGTTATGATTTTTGTGATGAGGGGGGGGGGGGGTTCAAAAACGGTCAAAAATTGCGTGACGTAATTCATGGACAACCCCTTATTGTAAATACATAACTATCAAATTCAGTATAAATCTACGCATAATTAATAATAACTTTGTAAAAGTAAAACATGATAACAAAATATTGAACTAATTCAAAAAAAAATTGGAATACTCATGATTTCCAAGAATTAGTGCTAAAAGGAAATCCAGGACTTTTGCAGGCCCTGTCAAATTCAAGGACTTTTACAGTTTTTTAAGAACTGCTGGCCAACCTGCATTATATGACCCATTTCTAATTATTTGAAATACTTACATCAATTTCAATATTTTAATTCTGAATCAGCTAATTTTTTTTTTTTTTTTTGAAGAAATGGTTTTTGTTTGGGCACTCATTCAAATGTGGTTCTAGAAGATGGTTAATAACTAGATCATTACTATCATCATTGATCATTATCACTTCTAACTAAAAGAACTTTATCAATACAGTGGAAATAATTTTGCTTTAATTTTTTTTGATCCATTCAATTTATATATTTTACAGCTTATTCTTAGTGACCCAAGTGTTTGTACTTCAGTGCATTCATTTTTAAAAACCTTTTACCTATTTTATTTACAAATATAACAAGCATGAGTTGCCATGAAACTTGGAGACATACCTCACATAAATTGATAGTTTGATATCTGCTTCACAAGAAAAGTTTACTTTATCCAAACAGAGCTTGTATTTATTTAAACATTTTGATTACACTTGTTAAATAAAATTTTTAATTAAAAACAAAAATGCCACATTTAAAAATCAAATAACCTTAAGACATCCCTAACTCTCCATTAAATCTAAGTTTATTATTTGGTAGTTGCTAGTGCTTAATTGATTGTTTTATCATAATTCCTACCCTGCCACCTTTTTCTTCATCTCTTTCTTTTCTTATTTTGTGCCGAGAAACATATCCATAATTTTTTATCATTGCTGTGTCATAAATAATTACTTTGTTGTGCTGTGTTGTTATAATAATGTTGTGTTGTTATAATAATGTTGTGTTGTTTTATAACTTATGTATATAATTACTACTTTATATCTATATGTCTCTTAGGGAATTACGATTAATTAATAGTAAACTTTTCCATTGTATAATTTACATATGATAAAATTATAGATAGATAAAACTTTGGATATTAAGAGGTGTTGTTATTTCAATTTATCGATCATGTATTTCTATGCAAAAAAAAAACAACACTCACATTAACATCAACGTTTGTCCAAGCACGCTCAATAGAATTTGCGCAAAAACACTCTGAGCAATATCAGTATAATGTACCTCAAATCAATACAATGTGTAATACAAGAAAATTTGCTGATAATCAGCAAACTTTACCACAAATCATGAAAACGTGTTACTTCTGTGGAAATAATTGCCAACCATGCATTATTTGTTCTGCTAGGGAAACTGTTTGTCACAAATGCCAGAAACAAGGACATTTTGCAAAAGTATGCAAATCGAATAAGTCATTAGCTGTTGCTGAACCCGTATGTATGGCTCCATCAATGATAAGTGCTGGAGCCCTTAATTGTCTCTCACACGAAAATCGAAATGTTGAAATAAATGGACAGAGTTTCGCTAAGCTTTCGGAAGCTCTGACAACTTTATCAACAAATACATTGTTAATAAGTACCAAATTCCATATATAAAAAGTAGCAGAAGTGTATTAATGACATCATCATCACTAAAAATGACCAAAATCAAAAGTATACTGACATCACCTTATTAATATTACCTAACTTATGTGCTGATGTTATTCTTGGTCAAGCTTTTATGAAAAAACATAGCAACATAACAATAGCTTTTTGAAGAAAATTATTCCCTTTTTTAGTTAGCAGTCTAAAGAAATCTCAAATACCTCCAGCAACATTATTTACAAATCTCTCCATAGACTGTCATCTAATCGCAACTAAATCTTAAAGATTTAGTCACATCGATAGGCTTTTCATTCAAACTGAAATAGAAAAGTTATTAAATGATAAAATTATAGAACCAAGCAAATTACCTTGGAGGGCACAAATCGTAATCACTACAAATGAACGACACAAAAAACTAATGTGGGTCGAATATTCATAACTATAAACAAATTTATTTACTTTGATGCTTATCCTGTACCTAGAATAGACAATCAGATCAACAAATTGTCCAAGTACCACTTTTTTAGTACTCTTGAACTTACAAGCCCCCACCATCAAATTTCAGATCCACTTAACTTCTAAAGCTAAAGGACTCCTCATTCTTTTTAAGTTTTCTTTAGCTCTATAACCGTTTAATCATATAAAAAAATGGCGCCAAAAAAAAAATCCTGTGTAATTGCTACTAGTGTGTAAAAATGGATATATAACTTTAGAAAATATTCAATCAGGCACAAGAAGAAAATATGTTGAAAATTTAACAAAAACTAAAGGATTTATTAGGCAAAATAATTGAATAAAATTAAATCAAAAAATAATTACTCTCTCAGCACAAGCAATACACATTCTGACAGAGTTTCTGTATTGCTCAAATTAGGCACTTCAATATTTTGCTTTTTGCCGAACAAAAACCTGCCTAAAATTTAGCTACCGGGTTTTGCGTTTTAAGCAAGCCATATGTTTTTCAAAAACAGACTATATTGCTAATTCTTAACCAATCAAAATAAAACTTAGCAATAAAGTAGTACTCAAATCAGCCTAAATTTTGTAATCATTTTTGTAGAATTCCAATGAAAAAAACTTGCTTAAATTTTTTTTTTAAATTTCCAATTTTTTTTTGACTTTGCAGTTATATAAGATAAGCAAATGTTTTAAAAATCTAATCAATTGATTTATTTATTCCTTTATCTACATTTCTACCAAATTTTATTTAAATTGAACAGTGCAATCACTTGCTATATGACGCACACGACTGCATGGTCATTTGCATCGTATAACAAACATTGTTAATTGTCCTATAAAATCATTTATATGATTGTTATATTGGTCACAGAAATTTATCTATTTTAATGTTATCTATTTATCTTAAAAATATGTATTACAATATTTATAACTTTTGAACCCCTCCAACTAGAATGATGAATTTGGTATCATTTTAAAGTGCTTTTTGAGCTCTATTTATTGACGTAAGTTATATTTAAATAAACTAATTTCTAAAAATTTATCAAAGTGCCTACTCATGTTGCTAATATTTTAAACAACATCATATTTATGATTTTATTTATTTTATTCAATACTAGTTTAACATTTTCTTAATGATTCTGCGTAGCAAAATATTCATAAAAAAATATACAAAGTTTTATGTAAAAAAATGGTCATCTTGATTCTATTAACTTATTTAATAAATTTTTTAATATGATTTTATCAAATTATAATTGAAACATGACAAATTTTAAGAATACGTGACTATATAACTATAAAAAAGTTTATAACAAATAACTAAATTTTATTTATTTACCTGCTCAGATGCAAACCCTACTTTACATGTATTACAAAACATTTCATTCTCCATCTTTTGTGAAGTTACCTAAATTCCTTTCAAAATTTACGAAAGAAATTTTATTTGTATTAATACGTGGTCTAAGCTCAATAATTTACAATTAATAAAGAAAACAATTTACGAAATCATGCTTTTCTAATAAATATAAATGTTACCTAATAGGAACGTGTGAATATCAAAATTTGTCTTGAGAAACCTAATGCCGTTTTGGTCGGTAAAAAAAAACAACAACAAAACAACAAATTTTTGCCGACAGACCTCAATGTTAAAATTACTAACGTCATACACGACCTTCTAGGGTTGGATGTGAAACATTAATCCCCGAAGTTTTACAATATATTCCGCAAATTACACATGTTCTATGTTGCGCAATATTGAAGAATAAAATTTATCCTTAATTTATTCTAATTTTAAAAAATTATATATTTAATCTAACGTTTTAGCTTCCAAATCTCATTTTGGTTTAAAATTTGAGATTCGGAACGAAAATACAAACACTTTAATTTTTTAAGCGTTTATTAAAAAAAAAATTATATAAGTTCACTTCTTTTTGTAATTTTTTGCTCAAAACTATCTATGAATGGTTTAATCGTATACAAGATCAGAGGCGATTATACGGGTATGTGTGTGGAGGGGAAGAGGGTGTTACCCCCTTCCTCACCCAAAGAAGGTGATTTTCAAGTTATAGTCGGGTTTTTTACGAATTTAGTCGGAAGTATACAATTCAGTCGGTTAAATTTTCGTTATTTTTTTATTTTTATTTTTTCTTAGAAGCTTGTCGATACAAATTTGAGGATTCAACCCCCCCCCCCTCAATTTATTCGTAGAATCGCCTCTGAACAAAATGTTTATAATTATTTTAATTAGAAGCAAAAAAGTGTAAATACCCTTTTACAAAAAATTGAGATATACAAAAAAAATGCAAATTGGATTTAAATAACGAAAGATGAAGCAAATTCTAAAACATTTTTTTAATAAAACAAGAAAATATCTCAGATCTCCCAATTTACAGACTCTAGGCCTGATTATAATAAAATTTCCGATTTTATTAAATAAAAAAATTCTTGTTTATAATATAATATTTTCCAATTCCAATATTTAAAAAGCAATTCTTAAAATAAATAAATAATCCAACTTTGATAAAACTCTTTATAAATAAAATAATATATTACATACAAATCGATAATTGATATATTTACTTTTTAAAATAACAATCAAGTTAAAATGCTTAATATGAACACCTAATCTTTCTCAATCCTTCCGTCAAAATGCTTTCTTATTAAATCATACATCATATAAGAATTTCCAAAGATATCTTTAGTGTGCCATAATCAAATGCGAACCACATGGTGGCATGAAGCTAATAATCAATGTTTCAATTAATACTGTTTCCTAAAACAATAAAGAATGTTTTAGTACACATTTTTTTAATTTTTTCAAATTTCAGAAATGCCTAAGTTAAAAAAGTTAAAATAATCAAACAATTTTTTTACATATAGTCTATAGTTAAAAGCAATAAAGTCCTCATATTGTGCTGAATCTTTGGTAGGCTTAAGTCCAAGTTCTTGCATACCAGTAATTGATTGATTAGAACCTATCTTTATACCTATAGAGTTCCAGTCTAAAATTGACAACTTGCAATGGTTGTAACCATACGTTTGATTACTGGAGTATTTACCAATAACTTCCTTAATAAAACTAAGGTCTGAAACTATAAATAAGATCACATTAAAGTGTTCATTTTTACTAGGAATAAAACACACTGAGACTGAGACACTACCAATAAAACACACTGAGATTCGTCAAACCTGTGAATGGTTTTTTTTCATAACTTTCGTTCCCACGCCAAAGAGTTGCGATAAATTGACCATATGTAAGCTTTCCCAGCAAACGCGTTAGGTTTTTTGTTATGTATTTTCGCGCATGAATATTTTATTTTAGACAACTTGGTCACGTCCGTTTGCAAGTTTTATTATATGTGCTACAGGCGTTTTATCAAAACGCCTTTAGTTGCTTTTTACGTACTTCTAGAAAAACACTATTTGATACATAATTTAAATTTTTAAAAAAAAGTTTTACAAAAGATTTGCAATTAAAATAATTATTTATATATTGATTTAATTATCTTTATTATATTACGAATTGGAAAAAAAAAAGATGAATTAAAAAAAATAAGTATTTGTGTTGTATTTATTGTCAAAAAAAACGTAGACCGGTTTTTTTATAGATGAAAGCGCCTTATTAAACAATAACAAGTTTAATTCAATTTTTTCTAACGAACTTTTTCAAAAGCTTGGCTACATATCCCAACCTTGATACGTTTTTAAAAAATATACGTTTTTAAAAAATATATCGATGTATGTAAATTCTTTCTCTACGAAAATCAATATTTTGACTTTTATTAATAGTAATTTTTATTTTATTTCAAAATGTGACTAATTTTGCGTTATTATTTTTTTTAAAACCACACAACATTTAGAGGAATTATTTTACAACTAGCTCCAGATGTTTTGGGGACTTTTTATCAAATAAAAGAAGAGTCTTACACATGCCTTTAGTTTACATTTTGTAAAGAATCATTTTAAATTAACTTTAACTCCAGACTGTACAGGTTGCATGACATGGAATATTCACATGAAAAGGGTCAGACACGTCAGAAACAAATATAGAATTGATGCTGATTAAACTGTTTGTGCACAAGAAATAATAGCGGCAACAGACATGGAAAAAGTAATCATGTTACCAAGAATGGAAAACCTTAAAGAAGCAATGTTTTTTCAGCGATTAACAACATACAATGAAACATTTGTGCCTATTGAAAAACAGAGATGTAGTCAAGACAGAAAAGGTCAAATCCAAGACTAAGACCAAGACATTTGGGCTCAAGACCAAGATCAAGACTGAATGTTTCAAGACAAAGACCAAGGCTTTAAAAGTTTTTACAAGACCGTGATCAAGAATTAGGTTCTAAGAAGTCCTAAACAATAAAACCCATGCTCACTCATGTAAGGAGTAAACAGGTTCTATTTTTTGACTAGCATCGCACATTTTTTTTATTTATTTGGCTAGCGTAGATGTATTTATAATATAATGCTTCTAGTTTAGAATGTTGAATGCTTGATCTTCTTAACTCATTGCATGGGTTTTGCTTGAGTCAAAAAAAATGTTTGAATACTATTAGACCTTAGTTGGTGTGATAGTTTAGCATTCATAAATATTACCTTATAATAAAACGTAGATACTCGTGTATGATATAATTGAAGTCTACAAAAGATATTTTTAATAAAAACAGAAAACTTTCAGTAACAACAACAATAATAACAAACATTTTTTTTTTGTAATGCTAAAAAACAAAAAGTACGAATAAAAAACATCTAAAAACAAAAAGCAGACATGCTAGACCAAAAGCCATATACTATAATTACAAAAAATAAAGTGAATGGGTCATTTCAGAAATAACATAAGTCAAAAAAAAAACAGGTTAAATATCGCTAAACCTGAATCTGAAATATCAGCCGCAATGCCGACGCAGTTAAACTGATTTTGCATGAGACAATGACTTTATGACAATAAAGTTATATCGATATATTATATTGTATATACTATATCTTTATCATTAGCAGAATCAGAGTAATTGTGACTGATATTTCTGATTCATCTTTAGCCATATTCACCCCGGTTTTTGTTTGTTTTTTTCATTAAATTTTTATACAAATATATAGAAAATTTAAAAGTCTACAATTGAATATTATGTTAAAATAATGATAGAAATTAAAAAAAAATAAAGATCGCGGAAACTTATAGAAGACTTAGAGATCTTATCATGAGAACCGCTAAAGTTTGACGTGTCAATAAAAGTTGAGGTAAACTCATACAAATAGTTTTTTGGTAATAAAAATGCAAACGTATGCAAACGTATATACAGGTGCATACACACATACATATATACACATACACATAAACATCTACACTCATACACAATAATTTTACAAAGTATATTTCATTTAACTATATATAACATTAGTCAAGAAAAAATTTACAGAATTACTACATAAGAACACAGTATGTTTACAATATTTTATAACTTTAACAATAAAGTATTTTACTGGAAAAAACATTATAAGAAAACCTAAAATCAAAATTAAAAAAACAACATATTTATATTATTTTTATATAATATAAATATACTAGATATTTCATCAATTGAAAGTATTAAACAAAAACTAAAAAAGTATTACTTTTTAGTTTTTGTTTAATAGAGGGATAACTTCATTTCTTAAAAATATCAAAATTTTTAAGAAATGTAGTTATCCCAAAAAAGCTCCATGAAATGAGATGCAAAACTTTTCAAAATTTGTATGGTAAGGTTGTCGAATAGCTTTACCATTTCTTAAGATATATTTGTTCGTTTAAGTTAAATAAGTTTACCATTTCTTAAGATATATTTGTTTTTTTAAGTTAAATAAATTTTGAAAAGGTTCAAGAGATAAACTGTTTTTTATATTTATACATAAAACAAAGAACATCAAAAATATACAGCTCGTATATACTGAAAACATTCATGTCAATTAGGAGAGGCTTGGCATGAATAAAACGATCCCTAAAATTAATAAAGGCGTGCAACATGTTTTTGTTGACAATATAGAGGTTCAAGTTTGCTCAGGGTCGACGACACGGGTTTTGAAGTGGATGGGGGAGGGGAGCACAGGCGTAAATTTTTAAAAAAAGTCTTGTATATCTAAAAAAAAAAATTTTTTTAAAATAAAAGGTCCTTATACAACCAGACGCAACACTTGCATAGGTTAGGTGGCTATGAATAAATGAATGATATAGTTGTGTTAAGGTGTGCTTATATAGGATGTTTCTTGTTTTATATAATATTCCAATACTTTTTGCTCAATGTGCTTGATTTATCAATTTAAACGCCTAAAAATTTGGTAAAGCTTACTTTTTTTATTAAAGTATTGTTAATAAAAAGAAAAGGCGTGTCATTTGACAGTAAGTGTTTTTTCAAATGAGAGTAGAAGAAAATTCATTTGGTTTTATCAATATTGAGAGATAATTTATTTTTGATTTAAGTTATTTCTGAAATGACCTGTTCAAGTCATGTTTGCATATTTTTATTTAAGTACTTTGTTAAACGTTAAACTGACAAGTTTGTACCTTATCTTATATAACACGTTAATTAACCTTAGTAGAAACTAACTACACATTGTCAGAAATCATGTTTACGTATCACTGTTATATTTCAAATAAACAAGAGTCGACAATATCTCATCATCCAGTCTAGCA